GCAGTGTGAGCCATTTCAGGTTTTACCAGTTGCCAGCTCTTGTTCGGAAGCACACGTTTCTAATGCGTGGGCGCCTTACCCGAAGGGAATTTGCATTGACACACGACAGTATTCCAAAAGTGACCGCGCGTTACAAGTTTGTTTTGCACTTTTTTACACTGATACGAGTTTCCGCAGAAGCCAGCGTCCGCAGAGCCCGAAATGGATGAAATCGCTGGGCGTTGGGAAGGAGTCAGTGGTTTCATCCCCAGCCGTTGACCTCATAGCTATACCTTCCCCAGGCTCCCCCCCAGGTGAAAGACGGCAACGCAAAGGCATCGACAGGTTTACACCGCCAGTCACAAGGGACACAAGCTGCTGGCTCCTTCCCGTCCTCGGCAGAGAGGGACTGATGGGAGAAGGGAGGGAGGCTGACTGGGATCAAAGTGCCAAACGAGTTTAATCAGATTCCAGAACATGAGGGATGGTGCCAGCTGGTCACCCCAGACCTCGTGCAGCTCTCTCCTGCTGCGCTGGGAGGGCTCGGGGCTTGGCTGTGGCCCCAAGAGTTGGATCACTGAAGATAAAGCCCTAAAACTCTGTCCTGGAAACAGGCGGCAGGTCGCCCCTGGGGAGACCGCTCAGTGGCGTTGGGCCAGTTCAGCACCAGGTCCTGCGGGGGGCGCTGTAACTCCCTGGGGCGAAAGGGGACTGGATGCTCCGGGGTGTGTGGTGCGAATTCCCATTGGCGTTGCCTTTTTGTTTCCCCAGCGTCGAATGTCTAACGCGGCCTGGCCGCTGCTGTGCCAACTGGGGCCGCTGTCGTGGCGATAGCGGCAGGTGATGGAGCTTTACTGTGGTGGGTCACCACGCAGGGCCAGGAGGAGGGGAACCTCATGTGGGCCCAAAGGGGCTGGTCCCTCCGCACTGCCAGCCTTCAATGCCTTTGTCAGATACCTGCCATCCTGAGAATTAGTAAAAAGAGACCCCGAGGTGGGTGCACCCTCTGCTGAATATATGTGATCATGTAATCATGGGGGCTCCATGCATGCAACCCTGGAGAGCCCCGATCCACTTAGTCTTGCAGGTCACCTGTGTCTAAAGAGACACTTGTTAAGCTATTAAGTATGAAAAAGTGATCTGTACAAAAGAAAGGATATGAACAAAGAGGAGGCAATTTGGCCAATTGAGCCCTTTTGGTAGCGGGTAGTTAATTGACCTGAGGATCTCGTCCAGCTGTTTCCCGAAAGACGCCAGGGTATCAACAGCCAGCATGACTGGGCAGCTTATTTCCAGTTATGAGTTCTGGTCACTGGCTGAAGGTGGCAAAATTACAAAATGAATTCTACATTATAACGTTACAACCGAATTGTCCCAGGCTTTCAGAAATTGGTGTTTTAATTGGGGCTCTCCAGAAGCCGGGTCGGAGATCCTCGCTCTGCTGCTGCTGCAGGGTAGGAAGGCTTCCTTTTCCTGTCATTTGATCAAATTGGAGGTTTTTACAAGCTGGAGTTTAATTTTAAATTGTACAGACGGAGAGCCTGCTGTTCCTAACAAACTTCCAGCCCTGTCAGTTGTGTTAGAGAAGTGGAGCCCAACTCCAGTCCTGCTGCCTGCGGGTCTCCGTACCACCCAGTTTCCATCAAATTATTGCTCCAGTTAATTATCCCAGTTCAAAACCGTCTGCAAGTACTTCAGGTCCCGAAGAGCGAAAGAAACCTGTAAGATGTGGCCTGTAGCCCTGCAGGCCTGGAGCTGTGCGCCCCTGATTCAGGGGGTGACGGTGTCTTTCTGTGGGTCCCATAGCATAGTGGGTTGGCCTCTTACTGCAGTCATGCGGTGTCCACTTACGACAACACTATTCTTCACTCAGACTCCATTGTACTCCAAATGGACTGAGTACATTGAGCTCCATAAACCCCCTTTTTGTCCCTAAATGTGGTGGTTGATGCAATTTACAGCACCTAGCTGTGTGCTGTCTGCAGTGTTGCTATTTGTTCATGTCCACTGTGTCCATACATTTGAAGCTTTCTGTGCAGCTGTCCACTAGAGGGCGCTGCGCAAGTATTACAGAGCTGTCAACGCTATGAAGAAGCTGTTGTTTTTATTGGCTATGAGGCCTACAATTAGGGCTACTGGCGGAAGGTCCCCTTAAGCAGGCTAGCAGAGGTGTACCCCCTTTCTCAGCCACCAGTGTCTCGTGAGGGAGGGCATTCTTCTCTGTCCAGGCTTAATCAGAAATGGTGGCGCCGTTCCATTCCTACATTTTCTTATAGTTATTTTTATTATTTAATTCTGAGTTAAAAAAAGAAGACTTGTCAGTAGCTCAGTTGAATCCCTTTCTGGGAAAATCGGAAGGAGAGATCCCTTCATTTACTGATTCTGTTCATCCTGTTTGTATCCGAATGAAAATGAGAAAGTGTGGAAGAGCCAGAGGCATGCTGACAAGCTCCTAGTGTACTGTGCTGGGTCCCCCTCGGGGTTGTGTTCCTGCTTGCTTTGATGTTACAGCACACAAAGCGCTCCGTTTCCTGCTGGGTTGCACCATTCTCCTGTACAGGGCGCGGCTGAGCTTCAGAGACAAACCCATTTTCTCCTTTTCCCAAGTCTTGCTTATCAACGTGGATTTTCATCCATCTGCGCCTTATCGTCACACGTAAATGCTCGCGCCTCTACTGTGCTCTGTGACAGGAGGTCTCCCTCGGTGTGGAAGTCGTCGTCTGCACTGGGAGAGTGTTGCAATGCCAGTGTTCTGGCCTAGTTGAGAATCTGTGCTGGTGGCTGGTGTTATGGAGGGGACAATAACTCAGATTGTTCTAGTATTGAAACCCTGTGTATTTTGCAAATTCTAAACAAAGGAGACACTTTTTTTCTTTGCAAAATAGAATGCACATATTTGCTCCTGATGAACGTATAGCTTTTTTCCTCACTCTGTCATAGGAAATGCCTGCAGTATAGTGTATAGCATATATAATGTCTCATCATCATAGACATAGTCGACCCTGAAATAGACAACCTCTAACATAGAGATTTCCAACTCTGGAAGTCGTAGCTTCACTGTCTTCAGTTTCAGAAGAGCTCCCTGTTACTTGAATCATATTTGACTATTTATACCCCAATTAATAGGAATTTTTAATCATTAACTGCCCAGCTGTAGTGTCTTGTCCTCTTTCATGTTCTCCTTTTTTTGCCTTCCTAATGAGTTAAAATTGACCACACTCCCTCAGAGCTCATCAGCCCTTTTCACAGCTCGGTAAGGTTTGATTTTGTGGAAACTGTACGATTTCCAGTGCTCTTTGCTCTTTGGAAGGAGGGCGTTTTTGCTTTGTTCTGCGTTTGCTGGCCCAGGAGCCAGCCTGCTCAGACCAGTGTGTCAGAGCTGTCCAAAAAAAGTGCTTCCACTTTCTGTCACTTGGCACGGTATCATCTTTCCCTGCTGTTGGATAAATAAATATTGCAAACTGAAAAAATATTGAGAAAGAAAGCAAAGGGTGTCCCCTGCTGTTCACCCTCCTGGGTACTGCGAGTTGCTTGTAATACTGAAGAAGACATCAGTACATCAGTATCTCTTGAGTGGGGAATAGTGTGTCTTTACAGTCTGCGTGCAAACAACAGCAGGAGAGTTTAGTCACTAAACGTCAAAAAGCACATTGGTAAACATACCGTACGTACGTGTAATGCTTTTGTATTGCTGAAAAACCTTTTCATCCCATTTCAAACTGCTCTGTATCACCACATTTAGGTTTCCCATTGTTTGGCGATATTTTCCTTATAAATTCACTTCTGAGTTCACCCACGTTTTTATGTAAATATGTATACACACACTTTCACAACTGCCTAGGGATCTGGCCTTGTTTTCCCTGTCATAGTCTCGTATTTGTCCCATTTAGCCAAAGTGGGCCACCTCCTTTTATATTTATATCTGTATGATAAATAATATGGTACATTTTTATAATTGATTATTGCATGGATGCATATTTTTATATTATTATAATTTTGTTTTCTTTCTCTAGCTCAAGTTGATAGATTTGTACTAAAGTGTATTGCCAGTAGATCAGGGGTAGACAGCTGAAGCTTCTCCAATCTGTGCTGGGGTTTGGTCTAGGACTTAATTTGTCCTGAATAACTGCACTCGCCTTTTGCCCCTCTCTCGTTTAAACACAATTATTTGTAAAGGGAAGGAGTGGTGGAGTCCAGGCTGCCTGCCCCTGCAGTTAATTGTCTAGTATTTATTTCCAGATGTTCGCTCCCCTTTTTGTACAAATGAGCTTCCAGTACTAGCAGATTAAGGAGAGAAGTGTCTCCTTCACGGTTTACAGAACTTCACTGCATGGATGACACAAAGGACTGGAGTCCTCTGCAACAAATCGTGGCGTTGTTGAATTTCTAAAGGCACAATTTATAGAAAATATTCGCCTTGTATACAGCACACCTTTCAGAACGAACTTGTACTCTCGATGTGTAGTCAGTATGTGAGTACAACACTGACATCTACCGGCCTTTCCGTGGTAATGCAAGTGACGTGCATTAAAAACAATGTACAGAACTCCCTCTCCTCTGATGTAAAGTGCTTTATCGGCAGCGTTTCACTCTCTTTTTAAGTGTTGTTAACCAAATTGAAATGTAGCTGGGGAGGGGGCATTGGGGGAAATTTTGTGTACGTGTTAGTATTTCGTTCTCATGATGGTGATTTCGGGGTGAAGGCTTGTGTCTGGGTCTCAGCGTGGAGTTGACTTGAACCCTTCTAATCAAACGCATGACGTGGTCCTTTTTTTCTGTCGTCTCTGACCGGGACCGTCCTGCGGCCAGAGAATGTGAACTCGCTGCACTACCAGGACACGGGTTTATTTCCTCCGATATCCGAAAAAGAGAAAATATCCTTCTCCTTCACCAAATTGCTTTTTCGAGTATGTGTACCTGAGCTGTTTTTGTATGATGTATAGGACACAAATAATATGACACACTACGCCGTCACGTGGGCATCAGTGTTTCCGAATTTGGCTTTATGTCCATTTTTAAGAATTAGGCGAAACCTCTCCAGACTACCGTAAATACATCTGAGGTTGCAGGGCCAGCGCTTTGCGACATTCATAGAAAATACGGGGCAAGTCATTCAGGGTAGCAGAGTTGGGAACAGTGGTACGGGGGGGTCTCTCTTGTGTTTCTTAAGGTAGTATTAGTCTGTGCCGCGAGACAGACACTGCTGGCCTCACCCTGGTTTCCCTTCAGCCACGCTAAGTGCCAAATCTCTCTCTCTGTGTGTGTGTGACGCACCAACTACTCTGTGCACATATTAAACAGTGTTTTTTTATACAAACTTTCCTGGGCTCCTTCTCTTTTGTTCTGGTGAATAAGCCGTGACGGTGAGAGACACTGGGCTACAGCAAGTGTCATTCTCCAGAGGAGACCTTCGGCAAGGGACGTGACTACGAGCTCATTAAGGCTCCTTTTCAACTCATCGAGTTTGGTCACACCTCTGCTGTTCTGGTAGGTTCCTCTTGCACAGTCTGGCCTGCCTGTAGCCCCCTCTGTCCCCTTGATTCAACTGGTGAAGTAATTTCTTGGTCTCCACTTCATCTGCATCTAGACTGGGATCAAAACTGAAGAGTTCAGTTGCTCGTTGATTCCTTTAATGTTAATTGATTATTTATGTTTAAAGAGTTACACTTCCTGTCTATTTTTTTTATTTAATGTTACAACAATTTGCGTCGGGAATACACAACCTCACCATGTGACTGAGTCTCTCGGTGTTTACACCTGACTCCTGGAGGCGGGACTAAACCTGCCGCCGGTCGATTCTATAGGCCATATGGGTACGGAGCCGTGACGCAAGGCAGAGGGGGAGGTTTTTGCACCGGTTACGTCATAAACAGGAGTCGAGAAGAGGTTTTGCAACAGGTTAGTGAAAAACTGCTTTTCTATTGCGAGACTTGAGCTTCAGCGGATTTAGATACTTTTGCGCAAAGTCCAACTAGTCAGGCTAACGCCTATTAAACTTTGTAACGTATTCGGACTTTTGCAGCTACTGTCATTAAAGCTGAAATGCGAATTTACCGGGTGATCCCTGAGTGTGTTGATTGGGACACAACTGCGCTGCACAATACTTCGGTATTTCAATCTAGTTCTTAGATTAACATACAAAACCCCCGATTTGTTAAATACAGAAATACAGAATTACCTCCTTTTAGCAGCCGGTATGCTGTTTTGTAATTACAAGTACGAGTCATATGGGTAAAAATTAATATTGGTATTTTAATTAATTCTTATAACATTTTTATTTGTATAAAAAAATAGTTTATTGTGTGAAGGGGCTGTTTTCTCACAGTACCCAGAACATGCATTAGTTTTTAATCCCCTTAAACGGTCTCGTCATCTGGTGTTTGACTCGAGCAGGGAGCAGGTCGTGTCGGGCCGCAGTCTGTCGCGGTTTTAAGATTAAGATTGTGACTCCCGGTGCTCGGCAGTCTGATCGATTTCAGAGTTTCCGATCTGGAAGTTGGTCTATTGACGGAACGGAAAACCAGATTAAAGTTGTGATGCTGTGATGTGACAGAGATCGCGTGGCTAACGCATATGGGTACAAAACTGAGTTTGGTAGTTTGGCGAATTCGGTTCTTTTATATCGATTTAAATTCCCAGGTCTTCAACTTGCAGGACCTGAAATGTATTTTTTTTAAACTATTCCGTGTCTGTCCCATAACGTGGGGTGTGGCTACATTGGTCGCACGGGTTTTAAAACACTATTTGCAGTCCAGCTGTCTTTTCTTATTCATTTCTTTGAGAAACAAATAATATCCTTATGAATGACCTTGCTTGATCAAGATGTTGATAGAGCAGATTTAACAATGTGAGCACTGCGTCGTCTACAACCCTCCTTTCTCTATATGCAAACTGCAGGGGGTCAGTAAGGCCCTGTGTGCTCTTTGTAATGTAATGTTTTAAGATTCTCTCAGGCTTTTCACTGGGAGAGATGAAAAGGCAACTGGCCTGTAGCTGTTAAGATCTGGTTTTGGGAATAGGGGCAATGATGGATTTCTTCCACAGAGAAGGGATGATTTGTAGATTTAAAGACATTTGGAAAAACCTCTTCTGCGCTCATTATCTGGACCTGCCCTCTTTCTCACATTGATTTTCTTAAACTGCTTACGCACCTGTGCTGGATCAGTTTTGATAGACAGATTAAACAAGTGAAATGACAGGACAGCACATTTCCTCAGTGGGACAGTGAAGCTTGAATTAAATGTTTAGAAGCGGTTGATCGTATATATAGCAACATTTAGTTAGCACTGACCTGTGACATTTATGTTATACTTCATGCCCCAGCATGTGAGATCCCAGGTGCAAAACTGCTGTGATCACAGGGGCTACAGCTCACAAGGGCTTCTAGTACAGGCGGAGTGGTGGCTCTGTGGCTCAGGATCTGCGCCTGTGACTGGAAGGTTGCCGGTTCAAATCCCACAACCGACAGAGGAATCCTACTCCGTTGGGCCCTTGACCCCAACTGCTCCAGGAGTGTCGTATAAATGGCTGACCCTGCGCTCCGACCCCCAGCTTCTCTCTCCCTGTCGGTGTGTCTCATGGAGAGCAAGCTGGGGTCTGCGAAAAGACGAATTCCTAATGCAAGAAATTGCATAGGGCCAATAAAGTGATCTGATCTACTTCAAGTAGTCGAGATTCAGGGCTGCAGCTGCTGAAGGCCAGATCAACTCCTCAGTGAGTAAAGTGCTGGGATGAGAAAAATTTGGACCAGCTAAGAGACTGATTCAGGTCAGTTAACGACTGGAGATCTTTTTTAGATCTGAGGAGGGCAGAAATACACAGCTGGCAAGGAGGAACAGGAGATAAGATAAGAGTGAGTCAGGTGCCAAGCTGAGAATAAAAGAACCGGCGAAGTGATCTCCCGGCAGGACGTGCTGACCGCCCCCTGTGTTCCAGCTGCGATGGCGTCTCGGGGTTTCCTGGACGAGGAGCAGTCCGGGGGGCGCCGCCCCGACCTGGGCTTCACGGAGGTCATCAGCCAGCGGATGTGCGTCCCCGAACACCTGAGGGTGGCCGCCATGCCCTCGGAGGAGCAGGAGGGGCCGGGCCGGGAGCCGCCGCCTTCCTTCAGCATGCACGTCCCTGACCGGATATCGCTGGCGGGTGGGTGTGGACCTCCTGCGCAAACAGGCCGGAACCACACAGGCCTGGCGGGGCAAAGTCAAGGGGCTCTTCCTGGAGCTCCCTGGGGTAGCACAGCCCAGCCAGGGGGAAGGGTGCTGATGGGATGAGAAGAGGGGAGTAACCTGGGCCCAGATCCAGTGGGAATCTCAAGGTCTGGGGAAGAGTGTGCTGGAAAGTCCACCAGCAGGGGATGTTCAGGTCTTTGGAGATTAGCATCTGGGCAGAGCCCGGAAATCCGATTTGGTTTGTAATATTTAAGCCAGGAGGCTCAGGGCTGAGCCTTGCTTCCTCGCGTTGCTGGGGGTCCTGGGTTGAATTCCAGCCCTAGGGTGCTGTCTGTGTTGTATGTTCCAGTTGTATGTCATGGTGCTTGTATGTTCTCTCCATGTTCGTGTGGTATCCCCTGGGTGCTCTTGACAGTCCAAAGACAAACTGGTAGGTAATAATTGGCTTCTGGGTAAAACCGGCCCTGGTGTGAGCGTGTGTGTGTCTGTGTCTGTGTGCCCTGAGATGGACTAGTGTCCTGTCCAGGGGTATGTGCTTTGCGCCTGTTGCTTGCCTGGGATCTGTTGCTCTGACCCCCCACGACCCTGTTTTGGATAAAGCAGTGAGACGATGGTGTTTAAGACAGCAACTGTTTCAACGAAGTCACTAACAGCTGGGGTTGGAACACAAACCATGAGTTGACCAGCACTGGCCTGGCGTGTCCTGATGTCATCTGTGCCTTTTGTCTTTGATGGTGCAGATGTTCCAGATGTGAGTCCCCGGCCCCCATTCTTCCCTCGGCTGAGCCAGGGGTGGACCCCCCAGCCCCCAGCTGCTCTGCGCCGTGCTGGCTACTCAGGGGTGCTCTCTGAGTCTCTGGCAGCAGGGTGGGACAGGGGGACACATCGTCAAGAGGAGCAGGTACGTTCCTTCAGGTCTGGGCTCATAAAGGGGCCCATAAAGAGCGCCCCAACGTGAGAGGCCGTACCCTGCTTCCACACAAGCCTGCATCGCTGGCGCCCCACCTATGCAGGTTTTCTTTGTGAGAAAGTGAGTGTGAGCACTGAAAGTGATCTCACACCTGCTGTCAGAGTTTCAGTTTCGGCAATATAAATAATGGCAGGGTGGCATCAAGTGCACCCGGTTTCTTCTGTGTGGCAGTGCTTACTCTACACCCCAACGCAGGATGCTGCTTGATTGGGGTGGGAGGGGGTCTCAACGGGTTCACTGAGCAGATAATGCATGTGTTGAGGCCAGTTAGCCTGATTGGTCTTTTTGGGTAGAGAATGTGGACTTCATTCTGGGCGTAATTGTAACCCCTAGTACGTCTTTTAACTTGCCTCTGGCACACAAAATGGAGGAGAACACGAGTTCAGCAGAACTGAGCTAGAGGTTGTGAGCAGGTGGTTGTTGTTGTTAAAGGAACACTGATGACTGCTTCTTGTTATCACTGTGTTCTACTTTTTCTGCTTCCTATTCTTCCTCCTCTCCTCCTTGTGAAAGGCCTCCCTCCGCAGGTCATTCAGTGACTGCACGTTCATCAGGAGCTCTGCGGCACCCTCCAGTGGCTCACGACCCCAGCAGCCCCTGCAGCCTCTGTGAGTACTGTCCTCCCTAGCTTCTCCAACTACAATTCCCATCAGCCTTCAGCTGCATTCCCACAATGACCTTGGCCCATGATTTTCAGGGTCTCTGTGTCACTTGAAGTTTCATCGACAATGCAGAGGCACCCAAGTCCTCAGCTAGTTTGGTAGCCCCGCACTGTCTTACCTGCAACAGTGGAATTGCCTTGTGCTGTTTGTAGTGCCCCAGGTGGAGTTTTAGCTAAGTCTCTCAAATCCTCCTGTGCTCCAGCTAGGAAGCTTAAATATATTCCAGTACTTTTCAGAACCTAGGAAGGTGTTCAGTAGATGTGGAGGAAGGTGAGTGTTCCTGTTACCCCATTGTGTGAACACCCAACTTTAAGGTAAAATACAGACAAATAACAATTAAGTTAATAGAGCATCTAGATCCCATTCAGTTTATTTCTCAATATACTCCACCTACTGTATCGGACTGCCCTTATGCTCGTTCATGCAGACGCTATCTGTGTGTTTGTAACCTGTCTATGTGCCTGTCTGTGAACACCCCCCCCCTTAGCCAGAGTGTGGGACACCCCCAGCACCCCGATTCACCCTCCTCACCCCTGGAGCCTCTCCCCAGCCTGCTGTCCCCTCAAAACATGCTGAGGACTGCGCGGGAGCTGGGACAGCAGGCCACTCAGCAGCTCCTGCAGACAATCACTCAGAAATACAGCCCCAGGTGACAGAGCTGCCCCTCTCGTCCTGCCCTCTGCTTATGATCCACGGGCTTGAGTGTTCACACCCCTCCCCAGATACGCTGGCAGGCACCTTCCCAGAAGTCAGTGCGTGCTGAACAACGTGCAGTGGTGTGCAGTATCTTGCCACCCCACAAATGCAAAACATTATTGCATTTAAAACATTTCAATTGTGATCAGCAGAAAAACACGATTATTCCTTCCCGGGATTCTGTGAAAATTTCAATTATAAATACGCTCTGTCCTTTTTCTTAATGGACTTGAAATGCCAACGTATCCAGGGCAAAAAAAGCCAGATCTGCACTCGTGTCTTCCCAGTCTGTCTGTGTGTGGCTGTGCACAGCACATAGGGGGTGAGTTCTCTAACTCTGAGCTGTCCGTTCCTAATCCTAGAGGGCTGGTGTGTCTGCAGGTTGTCATTTCAACCTAGGTCTTAATGACCTGAACCTGTTACTGGCTTAATTAGACCAGTTTAACAGCTTGTCTCAGCCCTCCAGGTGCAGAACTGGGCAGCCCTGCTGTACAGTACCGGCACGGGGTGGCACTGTCTCTGCAGCTGGAGGAAATGTGTGCAACATCTGAATCAGCTTCTCCCTTCCGGGGTCCTGCTTGATCGATCGCATGTGAAGCAAAACAAAACAGTTCCATTTTTTCCTTTGATCCCTTTCTGATTTGATGGTTTTTTTTTGCAGTGGAACTGACAATGATTAATTCTAGTTTTTTTGGACCAGCAATCTCTATCCATCTGTGTTTTGGAAGTGGAACTCTTTTTCTTTTCTTCTTTCTGCAGTTACAGTTGCCTGGATAGCTCTCCGACCAACAGCGCCAGTTTTAATCCTGTGGGCGACCATAGAAGGTAATGCTCTTTTTTAAGTTTGGTTATATTTTCATGAATGAGTGAATGAATGTTTCACAAGAACAAAGAGCCTGTGCTGTACACCTGTGATCCATCTATAC